AGAAAATGTGTGGCAAAAAGCTCATTGTCTCCTAATTAGCACTTTGAATTGAAGAAAATAGAAAAAATAGTAACTAAATTGTATGTCGAGTGGGAAACTCAATAGATTCAATCTGATTTAAAGCTTGTAACACATAATTCAACCATTCAACCCACATAATTCAACCAATTCAATTAATTTTTTTGTTTGCATACATCTGAACATAATTTTGAATTCATCAATCAGGATGATATCTTTTTAACTGCAACGAAAGATGTCCAAGAAAACACAGCTTTGCTATATCATTTTGAGGTCAAGTCAGACCCGAACCTCCATTGATCGACCCTTCATTGCAAGTTTGACCCGAGCAGGAAGTTTCACTGTGGTAAATTTTGAAAATGAAACCATTTAAATTAGCATTTCAATGGCTTATTATTCAGTGTTGACACTGAAGATTAATTCTGTGGCCACAGGCTGGCAATATGCAAACGTGTTAAGGATCAACATAGATCAGTTTTGGAAGTGAAACTCGTATTGTTGGTGACTTGCTTCAGCAGTTTAGCATCAATTCTTTCGGGAGACTAAATTTGTTGTGCACTTTCACCTTTAGGCGAGACTATATTGGATGTGCACACCGCCATAATGTCATATTATCATGCTTTTTAAAATCAAATTCAATAATAATCAATAATTCAATTAACCATTCTTTGGGAAATGCAACAGAGTATAACTACACTATGCATCATAGTATTATTATATCATTTTGGTAAGATCTAAACAATACTTAATAATTTAAACCACAGAACTGGTGCCTTCCAATAATTTCAGACAATACTGTCACATAGAGCTGTGATTCTCAACCACGTTCCTGGAGAACCACTAACACCGCATGTTTTGGATGTCTCCTTTGTCTGTCACACCCATTACATGTCTTTCAGTCACTGCTAATGAGCTGAATCCAGAGTGTTTGGTTAAGGAAACATGAAAAAAGCATGGAAATGTGAAGAGCTGGTGGTCCCCCAAGAATGTGGTTGAGAAACACTGACATTGAGAACACAATAATGTCAAAAACATCATAAAAGTAATAAAACAGCACCATGATAACCACTGACCTACATTGGCGGATATATCAGTGTAGTATCACTCATACTACCACCTGAGAGTGTACCACGGATGCGCCATCATACTTTTTTCCTTAGGTTTTCCTAAACAATCAAGCTGTTTCTCACCTCCGCTGCGTCCCCCTAATACCTTTCTCACCTTCACACCGGCTGCTTTGCTTTCCTCCATACACCAGCTATATCTGGACACGCTCTCACACACACACAGACATTCCCCAAAGCTTATTGCCCGAGATACCTAACGGTTAATAATACATAAATGCGACACATATGCCACACTATGATTATTTAATGCAGAATGGCATATGTTGCTAAATAATTACAGGCGGCCACACTCCAGGGTTGAGGAATAGCCCTTTACAGTACACACCACATCTCTCTCTCCGCCCAAACCACACTCACTCTACACATTATGATGGTCCAAAACATGCCTCCCCTGTCCGCTCTTATTGTCTTCCATAATCCAAACAAATTCCAGTGTTGATCACATACACAGAGGGAACAGATGCTTTTGGGGAGCTTTTCAATATGCACAGCCATCACCACCGAGGTCTAATTAACCCTCTCTCCACTAACCGCCCACACTACACATACACATTTCCCAGCATCCAGTGTTGCCCACATCCTCACTATATGGCTTATTTTTGATGCGTGCAATATTGGTAATATAAAAATGGCGCGTTTAGTGGATGCATGCATCGCTGCGATGGGTTTGCAAGAGCAAATAACGTATTCATGCATCATCATCATCACATGAAATATATAGTACTGCAATGCAACTTGTTTTTCTGCACTAATGTTTAGCTGTAATGCCACTGGGATTTCTGCAGGCGCTAGATGCAACGCGCATCCTCTGTGTGCAGCCTTGTTTACAGTGTGTGACGCTGTGCCAACGAATCGATAAACTGTTTCGGAATGAAACACCAAAATACCCACATAGGCCATCTATGCAAGGATGCCCATGTCAGCGCGCGAGCTGACATTGCGAGCATCTCCGCGCATTTTCCCTCCCGCATGACAAGAGTGCATTCGTGCAAGGTCTCGAGGCATTGCCTATTTCACATCATTACACGCATAATCGATACGGTAACTCACGAGATCATCTCGTTATCCCGAGCGCTTGTAGCTACCCGACGAGGAGCGCGCGCGCACTGACATTGGAGTAAAAGATGCATGAAATAATGCAGGAATGCAATGCAAAAGCCACGCTACCTTTTAGTCGTCCTTTCGCTGTCATCCTCAAACTGACAAAAATATTTCATTGGATCGAGATGTTAATCTCTCTTGCTCTCCTCCCCCTCTATCTCTCTCTCTCTCGGGTAACCTGGCACTGTATAACAGTTCATCCATCCGCCAGCAGGCGCGCGCAGCCGTCGATGCGCTCCATGCATGTGGCAAGCCGTTATCATAATCATTCTTTAAAAGAACTAGAATTTGTATAATCATAAATATAAATTACACACAACTACTTAATCAAATAGAGGAAATCTATATCACTTTACTGAATTTATTATGCCTAATTTGCACTGCAAAGATGGATTTTGAAGAAAGGAAACTAGTAACCATTAACTTCCATATATTTGTTTTTTCCTATGTAATTTAATGGTTACAGATTTCCAATTTTCTTCAAAATATCTTATTTTGTGTTCAAGAGAATAAAGAAATTTATAAAGGTTTGGAACCCCTTGTGGATGAGTAAATCTAATTTGAGGATGAACTACCCCTCGAAGGTATCTTAACCGACTAGAATTTACTTTGTGTTCCATTGACTGCCGTTCGTATGCATGTGTAAACAAGAGATTACAAACACAAGCATGTTTTGCTGTTTTCTCACGGTCAATTAAATCTGTGACCTAAAGAATATTGAAATATCCTAGTCTGACCTCTTTGATTAAATAAAATGATGTACCTTTAAATCTAGAATTGCAATAAAGTGGAGCAGACTGAGTATATATACAGTTGAAGTCAGAATTATTAGCTCCCCTGAATTATTAGACCCCTTGTTTATTTTTTTCCCCCAATTTTTCTTTAACGAAGAGAAGATTTTTTTTTAACATTTCTTAACATAATTGTTTTAATGACTCATCTCTAATCACTGATTTATTTTATCTTTGCCATGCTGATAGTAAATAGTATTTTACTTGATATTTTTTAAGACACTTCTAGACAGCTTCAAGTGACATTTAAAGGCTTAACTAGGTTAATTGGGTATAGGCAGAATAGGGTAATTAGGCAAGTTGTTATATAACGATGGTTTGTTCTGTAGGGGTTAATAATTTTGTCCTTAAAATGGGTGTAAAAAAATGATTAACTGCTTTTATTCTAGCCAAAATAAAACAAATAAGACTTTCTCCAGAAGAAAAAATATTATTAGACATACTGTGAAAAATCCCTTGCTCTGTTAGACATTATTTGGGAAATATTTAAAAAAGAAAAAAATTCAAAGGGGCTAATAATTCTGACTTAAAATATAAATATATTTATGCTTAATTGTACATTTTGCATGCTCAAAGTCCAGTCTGACCTGCACGTAAAGCGATAGTTTACCAAAAGTGAATATCCTGTCATCATTTACCTTTACTTTTTTCAGCACCTATTTGGTTTTCTTTCATCTGTTGAAAACTAAAGAAGGTAGTTTAAAGGAAGCTGAAAATCTGTAACCATTGATTTCAGAATTAGCTCTTTACAAGTCAATGGTTACAGATGTTTAGCTTCCTTTAAACTACCTTCTTTAGTTTTCAACACAATAAAGGTTTGAAACCACTTGAGGGTGACTAAATATTTTCATTGAACTATCTCTTTAATGCCACTCTGAGGTGGCAGAAATATACTTACACTTACATTTTAACTCTATACTATAGGGGCAGGTGAAATGTACAATCATAGCAGGCATAGTTTCAATATTACTAAAATATTAACTTCTCACTAATGACATCAGAAATGGAAAAGGCTGGTCAAAAACACAGAAAATGACACTCCAGATGCCGTCTTTATTTTTTTTTTTTTAGCTCAAATGTCAGAAATGGGACGCACAGGATTATGGGATATCAAAGGCATTGAAGGATACATCTATGCTGCGTTCAAAAATCAATCAGATGAAGGTCTCTCCGAAGACATGAAGTAAAGCTTGATTAGGATTTAGACATGCCTTCCTACATCAAATGCAAAAAAAAATTCCAGATTTCTGACACAGCTGTTGTGTTTTTACAATGAATTTTAAACAGACAGCGAAGCCTTAAGCTTTAGAAATGAACATTTATGGGTCACTATTAAAAAAAAATTGTGAACAAAACAAAGATTATTGATTCACACTTCGTTTTTAAAATGTAAATTTCTCACTTCAATCAAACAGTTTGTTTCTTATTATAAAATTTGCAAGCAATTTCTGACTGAAAGTGTGTCTACAGCTTTTTTTTTCCAGTACAGCAACTTTTTTTACTTTGTTTTTGCCTTTTTAGTAGCTAATTTATTAAACCCAAGTTTATATACAGAAATTAGCATTAGTGAATAATCAAAATAGTTAAAATAAATCGCTTAAATATATAAACAGGTGTACGTTTTTCAGGCTTAAATGTTAAAATGGCTTGCCATACCTCGACTGCATCAGCATCACTGAGCATATAGAGTGCCTTAATGGGTTGCCAATCTCATATTGGAAATGTTTTTTTAAGGGGGGATGCAAACACACCATGTGAGGCATCCTTTGATCACTGATCAATCATCCATACATTACGTATTACGCTGTCCCCCTCAAACAAAAACTTCAACAAAAGAAGATCTTCCAAAGCGCATCATCATCATCATCATCTAATCATCGGCAGTCATGCACAATCGCGTATTACGCTTCATGCTTAAATGTGCTAAGTGTGATTAAAAGCGAACACAACACAGTGCACTTACATTTGATTACGCGGTCGGTAGGGTTTAAACCCATGATGTCTGCGCTGGACATTCTCATGGGCTGTTGCAGATCACGGGGAAAGTGCGCTTACTCCTGACGGGTGAGCGTGCGGTCTTCGGTGCTGCGGGATGCGCGGGCTGCAGAAGCCGCATCACTTGGTGCGTCTCTCCTCCGTCCACCGCCGGTCAGGGGGAAAGAAGATATGTCGCAGTCGATCCAGGCGAACGGCGATGCTGAAGAGATGCTGGACTCTGCCTGGTGCCGTGTGGGGGCGGATGGGTAGACAGATAGATGGATGAATGGATGGATGGAGGGAGCAGTAGGAGGGGGGCTGGGAGACTTCTGCTCGGTCGGTTCAGGGTATCCTCAGCGCGTTGCAGCACCACCCCGACATGGCGAAGACAGGAACTCCCACGCTCTCGCTCGCAGGGACTGCCTCATACCGCCATCACGCGGAGGCTGATTCGGGGTTTCCCTGCATGCGCACGAGATGAGCGCGCGCGCGCGCGCGCGAGAGAGAAAGCGCACAGGCCTTGTTGCTGCTTTATTGACGTCAGGCTTACATTTAAACATATTTTATAACATATAAGTAGGCTATATGTTATGGCCGGGACCCAGTGGCGCAGTAGGTAGTGCTGTCGCCTCACAGCAAGAAGGTCGCTGGTTCGAGCCCCGGCTCAGTTGGTGTTTTTGGAGTTTGCATGTTCTTTCTGCGATCGCGTGGGTTTCCTCCGGGTGTTCCGGTTTCCCCCACAGTAAGACATGATGGGGTACAGGTGAATTGGGTATAGGCTAAATTGTCCCTAGTGAATGAGTGTCTGTGGATGTTTGCCAGAGATGGGTTGCGGCTGGAAGGGCATCCGCTGCGTATCTCTCAAGAGGGTTATCTATTATTGACGTCAGGCTTATAATTAAACATATTTTATAAATATTTTTAAAAAATTATTTCTAATGTTGCAAAAACAGACTATTTTTGTCACATTATTTTTTGGTTATGTTGACATCTACAGTATCTATCTATCTATTTAAAGAGTTGTTATATATCTATCTATCCATCCATCCATCTATCTATCAAAAGGATTTTCTATCCATCCATCAGTTCATTCATCCATTCGTCCGTCCATCCATCCATCTAACTAGAGGCTTATCCATCCATCCATCCATCCATCCATCCATCCATCCATCCATCCATCCATCCATCCATCCATCCATCCATCCATCTATCTATCTATCTATCTATCTATCTATCTATCCAAGAGGGTTGTCTATTTATCCATCCATCTATCTATCTATCTATTAAGAGGGTTATCTATTTATCCATCCATCCATCCATCCATTCATCCATCATCCATCTATCAATCCTACCATATATCTATTAAGAGGGTTATCTATTTATCCATCCATCTATCCATCCATCCATCTATCTATTAGGAGGGTATCTATTTATCCATCCATCCATCTATTAAGAGGGTTATCTATTTATTCATCCATCCATTCATCTGCCTATCTATCCAAGAAGGTTGTACAAATGTCTTTAAAAAAAGGTTTAATTGTTTTCTTAACATCACTGTGAATTATAAAAAGCTCTTAAACTGTAATCATTCAAATATCTTCTTTTTTTTTCAGGAGTAAGCTCTTTGTTGTTTGCATAATTTTTAAAATTATAATATCTTCTTTTTTCTCTTGCTGCAATGTAGACTTGTTGGAATTGTAATAAGATTTCTCTTTCTATTGGTTCTTGTTATTTTGTATGTTCTTTTAAGCATGTACAGGTGTCATTTGAAATACTGTTTCTTTAACAATGCATGGTTTCAGGCATGGTTTCCTTGGGGCATTGCATCATGTTAATATTTTGAGCTTATTGACACATATCACAGTAATACAATGTTATTCTTTTGAATAATGTATTATAGTCATTCAATTTGCGTGTGAATCAAAGTATAACTATGTGATAACACCAATTTACCATAGAACTGCCATAGTATGCTTTCAAATAAATGCCTGGTCGTTAAGTAAATAAATGTTTTTCACTATTTTGCAGTGATATCAATATGTCATTTATTTGTACTGTACAATTGAATTTTTGTCTTTAATGAATGTGATTGTTTGAATGGGGCATAAACCTGTACAGCAGGATAAAGATATCACTATGGTATTTTAGGAATATAGGCCGATAGTTTGATCTTTTTGGATTTGTGTAATCAGGATTATGTGAGGATCAGACAAAAGCACCTAAAAATGTTGGTTTTTAATTGTTTGGACAATCAAATATTAGAAATGAGAACAAAGGCAGGTAAGACAATAGAATAAAAATGAGAACACATCAGATTAAGCCCATTGGGCTCTATGCACAGCTAGTGTTTTTCAATTAATGGTAAACATCCGGTGAAAGCTTAATGTGACTATTTTCAATATTAATATTGTTCCTTTCACAGCATCGATATTGTAATGTAATTACAATACATTCAGTTAAATAGACTTAAGCATTCATTTAGTTGTTCAAGCTTACATGAAAGTCCATGTAGCGCCGTCAGTAGCAGCAAGCGTGCGCAGAACCTCTAAATACTGAGAAAATACTGAGAAAATACTGAAGTAAAATGAACAGTCATATTTTAAAGACATGGCAGGGGGAATGGAATTTAATGCAGTGATCTTGTCCGGTCTGAGACCCAATTAATGTTGTAGATTTTTCAGGCAGTAAAGATCACTGCTTTTTTTTTTAAAGAAATCAGATATTAAACGTGGTTTATAATGGAAAGACACTTTACCGGAAGCAATGAGGCTGGCTCACTGAAATTAAAAGTCTGTCTGCATATACCCCATCAGAATACATACTCAAGGTTTTAGAAAATATATAGCCTATTACAACCTACAAACAAATCGACTAAACTCCCTGCTTATTACAATTTCTTTACATTATTTTCTCTTACCATAATCAATATAGTAATTAGTCAGTTATGTTAGGATGTACTGATGCTAGAAACTATATTCATATACTTTATATTTAGTGGCTAGCATAATTTTTTGGTGGCAAGCATGCATATGCTTTTTATTATAAAAACGTATATTGTTTTTAATATATTTAAGATGTGGAAACATAATAAAAAATACATATAAAAATAACTGATGAAGTAAAGTACCTGTAATATTCCCATGTAAACATTTTAAATACGTAAAAATATTTACAATTTATAAAAAAATAAAACACAAATGGGAATAGCGTAACGTTACCTGTATTATGATTATGTACATAAATTAAGAAAATGTGAGAGCTGCAAAGCTCATGCATCATACAACAATACAGATTAACGTGAAAAGTGTTCATTTAAACATTTAAAAATAATTAAATAAAACTTACAGTGGAGCTTTGTTTCTCTCATACTGCATCCACCAATCTATGGGCGATAATCTCGTGTTTTGACGCGATAAAACATAAACTTGTCAAGTATCCCTCCGCACTGGTGAAACTTCCTCTGACGGAGGATATTTATGTGTTTGCGAATTTGGTAGAAATTGAGTATAAGCTGTTCTCCGCGGACAATTGTAAACACACGTCGAATGAACACCTCTAACAATAAATAAACGTATGTCCCTCCTAGCTATTTCTTTTATATTTCTGAGTTTATCGCCCAGCTCGCACATAGGCTCGAAATGGAAGCGTTCAACCACAGGGTTTCATTTGGGCTCAATAAGCGTTGAAGTCATTCAGCGCGATCCGCCATTTTGGCACAGCTATTGCATCAGTTTCGTAATTCACAACAGCACTATCTGGCAACTGGCGTAGGCGCGCAATCCGTCCCCGGCGACTGCGTCCATTGGCGGAAGGATCTGTTTAGAGCAGCGCAGTGTGCGTGTTGCGGTTAGCTGCTCGCTGCCGCCGCTGCTGCAGGAGGAAGGACCGAACCGCTACCAGCACCACCTTTCAGTTTCGCCTTCAAATTACACCAACCGGCTCCGTCACACACAGAACACCGATTGAATTATAACCCCAAGGCGTCCTTTAGTACGACACACGAGGGGTTGGAAGCGTCGGAACCGAAGAAACGCCGTTTTAATCGAGTACAGGGCGCGTTTTGTGTGTTTTTGACAGCAGTAACAGCACAACAATGGCTCTGAAAAGAATCCACAAGGTAAGAGAAGGAAGTCACGGGCGCCATTGCCTTATTCCGCATTGAAATCGCATTTTTTTTTTTCGATTTTACCGGAAATTCGAATTTTTGGATGTTATTGATAGGTTCTAGGTGTTAAGTGTGCCGCTGGTGCGATGACAACTGTTGTAAAGCTCCCCGGTTCGACGGTTCGGCCCGGGCTAACGATTAGCATGTTAGCTTGAGACCCTTCGTCGAACTGCCTGCGACTGATGTACAAGGTTTATTCGGTGTTCACTTTCACGTTTCATTTCTCGTTTTATATTGTAAACTGACATAAATAGTATTTTGAATTGGAAGTCGGTTTGGTATGGCTCGCTTGAGGATTAATGTAGGCTCATGGTAACGTGTTAGCATGCTAACCGCTCGTAGCCACTGATGCTAAAGGCCCATTTGAAAATCTTGAACAAAAATATTTCTCTCTCATATTTCATCATCAGATGGGTGTGTGTTTATTATTTCTACGCCAAAATACGGTGGTATACGCCAAATACGGTTGTTAGTTTAACTAACTAACGTTACCGTTCGCCTATCCGGGAGAGGCATCTGGCCCATCGGTTTGCCGTCACGGGTAACGTTAAACGTTTAAGTCATTTTCTCATTATGTTTAGTCTTGTGTTCGTGTTAATTTATCAGCATCAAAATATTTGGTATTTTTGAGCCAGTCTGTTAAGTGTTTAAGTTCAACACGTATTTATTTATGTCTTGAGGTTAGCTCGTGGCGCAAGCAAATTGGCGTAATGAACGTGGCTCAAATCGTTTCCAAATCAGACCATTATCTTCTTTATTTGGACCTTAATTCTCTCTGATTTCAGTAGAACTGACAAGACCGGGAAAAAAAATTGTTACATAAGCTGTGGTCACATCTCATGTCATTACAGCAGCAATAACTTCATTACACAGGCTGTCGTGTGTCTGATTTGACATCAAGCCCCTGTCATTTCTCTCTTCTTAGTTATGTTTACTGGCCGTTTAGTTTTAGTCATTTTTAATGAAATGCACAGATATCTAAAGTGTTAGGTTTCGGTGTCAGTTTCAGCGAGCATTGCAGGTGTTTCAGGAAGGGCTCGAGACAGGTGATGCAGCGCTTTACCTGCTGCTTCTCCAAAGCATGATGGGTGAGTGATTTTAACCTGCTGGGTTTCTGGTTTGTTTTAGGAGCTGCATGATTTGGGCCGTGACCCACCTGCTCAGTGTTCAGCGGGCCCGGTAGGGGATGACAGTAAGTGCCTCACTATTTCCAACAAATTATTTAATAACTTTTTTTTTTCTTTGTTTAATTTAAAGGCATTAATTTTCGTGTCTTATTTATAGATAATCTTT